TGGGGAGATGGTGTCTAAATAAAGGTTGTTTTGATTGTTCCCATGGTCCTGGCTTTTGGACAACTCGGTTGGACACATATTAGACATCAGTTGCCAAGAAATCAAGCGTCAGTTCTTACCAGGATGTAGTCTGACCACTTCTCCCTCGCAGTGCGAAGGGCTGCCTGTCGCAGTTTCATGACATGGGCAAACCGGGAGCTTGGCCAGTGCTTTGGCCCGATCTCATCAGGATAAGACCTGAAAGGAGAATAATATTAAATAGCTGGCAATTACTGCAGATACCAGGCTGCGTCCTAAATGTCTATGCGTACTAGCTCATTTAGCCCCCCACCAGCCCTAGGGGTGGGTATGGCTCCTGCCATCATCGCTCCCACATCACAGATAAGGAGACTGGAGCAGTGAGAGATTAACAAACTTGCTGTGTACTGAACACAGGAGTCCGTATGATATATTGCAGTGGGTTCCAGCAAGCTTCAAGACCCCGCTTACTCCCCATTTCGCAGATGAGGACTGTGGTGCAGTTGTCCCATGCTGCAGTTAATAAGGGACATAATCAGAATTCAGATCCAGGCAGCTCAGCTCCAAAGCTCATCATGTTCTTTGATGCTTTTTAAAATATGATTAAACTACCAAAATGAGAGAAAGGATAAAAGATAGGGAAAAAAGAGTGGGGGGGGGACATGCAAGTATGTAGACAGGATGGCTGAGATGATTATACTAGTAATTTCCATCAGTTTTGTGAAACTAGCAGTTAGTGTTTCTAATATTCACCTTGACTAACTCGGCATGCTGATATCTGCGATTTGAGCAACTACATTGAGGACAGCAATGCGTAATACAAAACCCATGGTTGGATACCTCTCATCTTGGTCATTTAAGTGTGTACTGTTTCTAATGTCTTACCAATTAATATAGTCTTTAAAATAATTTTTTTAAAAGACAAGAAAAAAATTAAGATTTCTTGAAAGAGAGCATTAATACTCAATTATTTATCCAATCTTGCATAACTGTGTCTGTTACTCTGAGCAACAGATTTGATGATAAAAATAGATAATATGACAACCATTATTAATTATCTAGTCCTGTTTTGAAAATCTGTAACATACGTATTGATGCATGTTACCCTGCTTCTGTCCTTTTTTCTGTTTGTTTTTGCTTCTGTTTTTATTCTTCAAAATAAAATAAAATTTAATTTTAAATAAATAAATAAAAATAAATAAATAAATAAATTTGGAAGTACTACAGTGTGAATATATGAGTTTACCAGGAAAACCACAGGTTTAGTTTAGTTGGTGCAGTCTCCGTAAATGATTACATACAACTTAACGTTCAGTTATTCCTGGTAAAGTGGGGTCAGGGAACAGGAACATCTACAGTCATCTAGGGATTTCTTTCAATATCCACAAGCCAGCCAGGCAGGCCAAGATTTCATTTTTGTACTGGAATTGAACCCAGAGCTTCAAGGGCAAGTAAGCATAGGTCAGTGAACCCTCCAGAATCCTCCTGAAAACTCTCAACTGATATTGCCACAGTCGCCCCCAAACTGGCCACCAATCTCAGTTTATGTCACTGTGCATTTGTTTTAATGAATGAAAAATCACAACAGTTGGATTGCTTATTTCATACGTCATCCTTGTCAACACAAGACATTTAGCTGAATTCTTAATTAGCTATGAAATTTATGCATTTTTCTAAATAAATCATAGATTATTTGGCATGGGGGTAAATCATATATATATATATATATATATATACACTTTATATTTCTCCCCAATGCTATATTCTTAGCAGGTGTTAAATTAGTATTTTTGGATGAATGATTGAATGGATAAGATCAAGAAAATGTGTAATTAAAACATATTAAATGTTTCCAAGGATACTAGAGGTCTACATTAAAGAATTGTAGAAGTAGAATAAATGAGGTGCTTGATTTCTTCTCGGTTTAAGTCATTTATTGAAAGCTAAATTGGCATAACACTAACAAAGTTCATTCTAGGACAAATTGTTTTTTAGTCTCTATATTTTGTATAACCAAATGTATAGCTACACTGAACATTTAATAATGAAATTTGAATGCTAAAGATTTTAAAGTCCCCTTTCAAGTTATCTGTAATGGAATTTGACCTCTTTTTTTAACTTCACAGAAAGACTTTTTTTTTTTAACATTCTGATAATGTTCTCTGCAAACAAATTTTGACTTGTATTATATGACAAGATCACTGGAAAACATTACAGAAGGCATTATGTTTTGGCAATATATTGAAAAAAAAACCTTGAAATTTTTCAATGCTTTTTATTTGAGCAGTAATTGGGGAAGATATTTCTAAGAATTCCTGTGCTGTGCATAGTTTTCTTGACATTATTTGTTTAGTTACAGTCTAATTTGTTATGCTTATTAGAACACATTTTCTGTACATAATGTTCCGTACATACATAAGTTCTTGTAGAGGTTGGTACATGTACATAACACAACTTAAGTCTTTCTATTTCCTCTTGTCCTTCTTTCCTTCTCTCTTCTCTCCTCCTCTAGACCCCCTTCCTATTTGGAGAAGATTTATCTCTTATTTCATTTTATCTATCTTTAATTTTTCTCATTAAAATATTGCACTTTGGGTTTCTCATATAAAAGAAGCCATGCAATATTTGTGCATTAAAGAAAATGTAGGATATTGACTAAAGAATTATGGTATATCCATACAGTGGATACTAGGCAGTTAAAAAGTAAAGTTCTTTAATTACTACTATATAATAATTGCCTATCTACAATAAGTGAAACAAGGAAAGTATATATAGAAAGGCCACAAACTTGATTATGATCTCTCAATCATAAAAAATTATGCTCTAAACATCAATAAGCAATGCCAATATATAAAATTATCACCTGAAAACAATAGTGCAATGTGATAATGCCAGCTACTAAGCAGGCTAAGGTGACAGGACTGCAAGTTCAGGGTCATCCTGGGCAAGTCAGCAAGGCCCTGTCTCAAATAATAAAAAAGGCTAATAGAGGTAGCTCAGTGACAGAGTGCTTGTCCGGCATGTGCCAGGCCCCGGGTCCACTCTTCATTCCACATACACCTACAATACACACATACATATAAAACACTGTAGTAATTTATTTACAAGCTAATGAAAACCAGAGTTCAGCTGGCAGCTATTGAAGTAAAGAGGAAGAGGGGATGAGGAAGACTGGGAATAAATAGATATTTGTGATTGCTTTGGGTACAGAGATGAAAGACTATGAAAAGTCCCATGTGCCTTCATGACTGGAAATCCAAATGGCACAAGAGCTTGTTAAGGAGGGAAAAAAAAAAAACAAACCCTAATGAGTTCGCTGGCTAGTTGATTACTCACTCTGGCTCCTCCATCGGCCTCCACTCCACATAGTGGTAGAGTTTCTGGACAGTTCTCAGCCACTCCCTGAGTATTTCGGTTGTGTTATCCACATTGTGATCGGTGGCTGCCCTGCATGGAGAAAGGCACAGTACGGCTTATTACATCCTCCGAAGGAGAGCAGAAGTCTTTGCTGGAAGTTCCAGGGGAAGTATATATGTAAAAAATTATTTCCTCATGGTCTAAGCTAGACAATGAGCTTGTGAACCAAGAGACACTGTTTATTACTACTTTTTTTTTTTTTTTTTCCAGAACCGGGGATCGAACTCAGGCCCTTAAGCTTGCCAGGAAAGCACTTACTCCACTGAGCCATCTCCCTGGCCCCTGCTACTTTTGCATCATTAGGGCCTTAAACAGAATCCAAAGTGGTTGTATTAACAAATAGAGACACATGAACACACAGATAGCATAAGCATAAAATTGAGCTAACCTATGTCAATTATTAAGTCTTGGAAATTTTGCCATGTGTTTTAAGTTTTAGTGACTCAAGATATAAAACCTACCTTATAACTTCACCCCAAATGAAGAAAAAAATTCAGTTTTATTTTCAAGTCACTTTTCCACTCACAACAAAATATTTAGTCCACGCTGTTCTAATCATATTATTATTTAATCATGAGAGGAGAATAACAATATTTTCTCACATAAAACTTGAAATCTAAGTTATCTTCATCTGTCTATTTTGGATTCACTTTACCTTTATACAAAACAGGGAGTCTTCAAAGCTCTTCAATAACATATACAAAGCTTGTTTCTGTGCCACCTGGAACACTGAACAAATGAATCCACTTGTCGAGGAGCTTACCTCCAATAAATTATCTTTAAATCACATCACAAAGTGAAAACTAGCTCCGTGCTGTATATGAGTTTTGCAACTATTTGCATACATTCCACATTAATAAAACTTTATACAGGAAGGAAGAAAGGAAAGGGATGAAAGAAGGAAATAGACGAGAAGGAGCCGTGGGAAGTTAGCAGTCCCTGAGACCCTAAAAAGGAAACAAAAATGTTTCAGTAGTACTGGGACTCGCTCTTCCGGTAGGCGGGAAGCTACTGGTATTATCAGCAGCTGTGGCTCCTTGGAAGCATGGCTTGGATGGAGGATGAGGAGAGACCAAAGGTGGGGACTTTTCTTCTGTAGATGGCAATGTAAGTAGGATTTGGTTAAACCTAGTCCCTAGTGGTTTTCTTGTTCTGCTCACTTGGACTTTTCTTCCAAAAGTAATTAAAAGCATTTCAAGGAGGAATGTTCAGGAATGTTTCAAGGAAAAAAAGTTGTTAAGCAAAGCAGTGAAATTTAGACAAAGAATAAAATTCTGCAAACACTAAGTGACCTGCAACTATGTCTCTTCTGTCACAGGTACAGAAAAGTGGGGGTCAGAGGTACGTACCTAATATTTGAAAATCTTAGGTTGTAAAATAAATGTATGGATTAAAACTAGCCTTATTAAAATATTATTCAAAAATTGAGATGACAGCAATGGCCAATTTTAAACTACTTTCAAGTCTCTTCTTGAAATTGGATTAGAGCCAACTTCTCTTTTCACTTCACAGGGTCTAAAAGGGAGAGAGACCCAAGGGCCTTCTGGTATCCCCTTACCTAGAGAGGGAGAGAAGTGACTTGTGAAGTTGGTGGCACTACAGGACACCATCTCAGCACCTTAGCACAAACACAGAGTGATAAAGAGCCCTGGGCAACTCAAGGTGGTGGGAAAGTGCCCAGAAAGCAATGTGGAAGCCCGTCACTGTGCCCAGAAGTGCAGTGTGTCTACCAGCATCTTGTCCCCGAGACACATGGTCACATTCTGCAAATGCTCAGTGCAATAGGTGTCCACAGGAGCACTGTGAGCATCAAGCCACAGGTCTCCTGAAATGAAGTGCCGATAGGGCAATTCCTGAACTTGAGCATGGGCTCTATCATTCTTTACTCACAGTATTATGAGTAAAGGTAAATGAAAACAACCAAATCTTGATTACAATGCTAGCCAAAAGTTAATGGCATTCTACATCATTTCTAAATCATCATTTCTAGGTAGCATAAGAGAATTTATTTATTTTCTTCAACTATTTGGGTATTACAGTGGACCTAAATTGTCTTTGCTCTTTCTATGCATAGACACCTTCCTAATCCTTTGGAAAAAGTTGGTCTTATTACATGAAATATATTCTCTTCATGTATAAATTACACAAATTCCTAAATCTTGCCTGACAATATCCTCAAAGATTAGCTTTTGGGAATATGCAGAGATAATACTTGTCTGATTAAAAATAGAAAGGCAGATGTGAAACACTCCTATTCAATTAGAACACTTCCTATCCATTTACTTCCCTGAATTGTTAGGATTTCTCTTTGTTCTCTGGCTTCCTCCAAAATGAACAAATGCTCCAGTTGCAGTTGGGGAGAGATCATCTCTGCTGGTCTTTGATGCCCAGCACTGTGTCCCAGAGGAAGAAATGTAGGGCTGGGCCACCTCAGCCCACAAAGAAAGCTCTGCACCCACACTGACACCCCTCAACTCTCCTGGCAATGGGCAAACACACAGAAATCTGGGCAGATGTTTCTAACTGCTGCCTTTTAATCCCTCTGACAAAAATGTATTTCTGTTTGAATACATAATAATGCAAGCATGCAGCTCTGGCTGTTCAGAGGCCTAGAGACCTGAACCCTGAAGACTCAGATGCAGGCTTCCAAGAAGAAATATGGGGTGTGTGCTAGCAGTTCTATTTTCAGAGCTGTGCAGCACAGTGCAAGGGAGGTGCTTGCCTGGCTCCAAGACTTCACAAGCTTCTAGAATAGGAACCTCTACAGTTGAGTTGGATTTTTCTCCAAGCTAAGAAGCTGATCACCCCTAGTGTGAAAACAGCCTTAGGAGAAGCTGAGGCACCCTGACTCTTCTCTCAATCTGGAAGCTTCAGGAAAACTATTCAATGTTTCCCTCATATCTCAACGAGGGCAGATTTCTACTTAGCTCCTCTCTCTCTTCTTCAGGTCTCTCTGACTTGGGATAGGAAGCAAGGAGAACTGAACTCTAGAGCTGTATTTAGTTTTCTCCAAGGGCATGTCAGGACAGTGATTTCCCTTTACCTCTGAGGAGCACCAGGTCCCTCAAGCACTGAAAGGAGGAAGTGTGGCCTTGGTGTGGTTTCAGTGCTTATGCTCAGTTTCCTGCCTGTTCATCAGTCCCTGCTTGCTTTCTTTGGAGTTGCAACCTGAAATGGAAGAGCTAGCTGAGACAGGTGCAGCATCCTGGCCTCAGAGGGCCGTGTAGACCATCACTTCTCCTAAGGCTGTCCATCTGCTTCTTCCCGCCTCCTGCTTCTAGTTCCTGCCTTCCCTTCTTCCTCTTATTCAACTATACAAGTTAGCAAAAGCCTAGCAGCCTCAGCTTCAAAATCCTATCAGAACAAAAGTAAAGACACACTAGAATATACAGGGATTATCCTTGATGGATGACGTTCCTAGGCTAGCAGGTACACTGTCGCTGCTAGATAATGTGGAAGAGAACACAGAGGAGGATGAAAAAGGAGGCAGGCTTGCAAGATGATACAGCTTTCCCAATGATGGAGGGCCAAAAATATTTTTTTATCTGGCAGTGTGTAAAAACAATGACATTTCTCCTTGTTCCAGAAAGGAAATTTTCATTGCTAAGTCTTAGCTCTTAAACTGAGAGCCAACTCGAAATCACTCAAATTGACTTATTTATTTTTACAAATCCTACTGCAGCTATTAGGGCTAAACACACATTGTTAAGTGTCGGGTCCCTGGAACCATATTAAAGAGGCAGGCTCTGTTTCTCAGCATATAGAACATGGGTACTGAGGATGTGGTACTCCTGATCTCTTCCATTTGCACTGACCCTCAGGGATTGGTCTTGGCTTTCCTGCTGCCCCAGAAAGTCTAGGCTTCTGGGATTAGAACAGCAGGACTGCAACTAATGGGGAAGGAAGATGGCAATGGTGGGTAGCAGCTGGTCTTTGCTGCCTGAGACTCTGCAAAACTCACATGTCAGAGGCTCAAGGCAATTGTGACAGATCAGACACCAAAGTGACTCACCACCTGGACAATTCCACCATGACTAGTGGGTTGGCAAAAGTAAAATTTCCAATTGGAGACTTCAAACACTGAACTGCCTTCTTAAGTGTTTCTTGTTTTCAATCAGCTAAGAAGATTCATCAAGGTAGAAAATAAAGAACACCACCTCAAAATAAAATTCCCCTGTGAGCATCTAGTGAAATTCATTTTCAAGAAAGGTCAGGGCTTCAAGTCCCACCGTCCCTGTGTCTGAGCATATGGGTCTGCAGCAGTGGGTCTCTCAGGAAGAGATGCACACAACCGTTGGCCAACATACACTGACTTACCCTTGTGTCTAGTTACTTAGGTAAGTTCTAAAGACCTAGAACCCACCAGCTGGGTAGAAATTAGATATTGATATACTTAGGACACAAACATGGATTAAGACCTGAGGATTTCTTTAATCAATTAGCTGCAAGTTTTCATAACTAAGAAATCAGAAAAATCCATTTCTTGTTAGACCAAAATAATGCTTATACTCTTATCATATCCTTTCTCAGTATGTCCCTTTCATTTAAAAAAAAAAAAAGCAATCATAGATACCACACACTTGGAGCCTTGTTAAGTGTGTGTACAGAGAGAAATTTCATTTTGGCTACCCAGGCCACCAACTGAGCAACTGCATTCCTAAAAGACAGGAATTTTTCCTAATGATAAAATTGGCTATTTGACCAGTTGCCAGTTAATTATTAACCCCAAAACCATTTCAATAAAATGGAGACAAACTTAAATGGCTACTTCACGTAGCCATTTGTGATACTTTTGATTCTGAGCTATGTTTTTCTTCTCATCATGCTAAGAACATCTCAGCGTTTATATCCTGCCCTGTGACTAGCTGAGTTATGCACTATTTTCATACTCCCATTTTGGATTTATCCTTCAGGCCTTCCGACCCCCTCTCCCAGCTTCACCATCCCACTTGCACAATAGAGAGTGGATGCCCAGGAAGCATTCGTCGGGCTGGAAGGAGCTCTGAACCTTGTCAAAGGCATTGATCCAC